TAAACAAAGAAGAAAATGTTAGAATATAATAATATACCATGTTACACACGGTCACGAGCTGCAAAAGGATATTGTTTGAACGTCTCAACTCATCGGATAGAGAGACGGATCTCTAGCTTCCGGTGTTAGGTGACGTGTCATGCAACCTGTTAATTGTGACCTTTTCCGATAATTTTGACGTTTCCTTCCATGGATCGTTATAATTATGGGAAAATTCGTGACAATCTGGATTTATTTATTTTTAACTTATGACGATTTAAAAATGATACGTAGGCTAATATGTAATGGTGTAGTGTAAATACTGTTACATATACTGTAATCTCACAGCTACAATGCATTTCAAAATTACTGTAACGTATATTTTATTTTTCAGAAGACTATCAAATCAGTTAATTGTTTATCCTGCACCTTGACACAACAATGGAACACTGATTGTCTTAAAACCAAACAGTGGATCACCTGAAGAATCTCCACTCTGGTTTATTTCACCTTAAGATTAACCACCCTACCCAAGCGTTAACGTAACCTAACCACCCTCCAAAATAGTGTTAAGGTTGTTAATCTTCAGGTGAAATAAGCTTGGGTTGAAGAGTCTAACTTAAATACATTAGTAAAACACTTCCTAAAGAAATCCTCCTACACACGTCTGGGAATACCAACAACGACAATTAATTCGTGTCGCTATAAATGATTCACAAAGATCGCATAAATTAAGTGGTAGTAATTAACTCTTATATAGAATTAACACAAAGGTCACGTATAACAAACAATATTTCCAAAAAAAGGGAAAATACGTCAGCCTCAAGATTATTATATCACCGAGATGAAAAAAAAAGTCTTTACCGTTGTGTTATCTGTTATCTTTTATTGATTTTATCAGTGTTATCCCTGACTGATAAAACGAAAACCTCGAGACAAGATTAAAAACTTTCAAGACGAGATTTTCACTTCGTTTGCCAGATCAAAGATAACGAATGCAAGTTTTAAGGTATACTGACCTATAAAAATACGAAGTGGTTAATTCATAAGTTTTAATCTAAAGGTGACTATATACACTACCAGTACTATAATGTTTTTATTATTATTAATGGAAACGTATTATTGCCAGAAACTGAAAAAATATACCGTGGCATACAAAAGCCAGCTCAAATATACGTTGTTATAGACCCCATACTAATATATTTTAAAGAAATTATTATTTAAACGTTTTTTTGGTTATTTTTAAGAAGTAATGGTCATGAAAATCTCTATATCTTTCCTTTGGGCAATCAATTAAACCAATACACAGAAGACTCGACACATAACTACTCTCATTACGAGCCTATATAACTATATACAGGGGAGGATATATTAATGAACTGTATTACGTGAATATAAGACACCCTTGATTATTTCACATACTAATTAAACACCCTATGACTACCTGTAGGGGTTAGGTTAGGGTAGGGTGGGTTTTTGGTGGCCGGTAATAAAGGTTAGGTTAGGTTACTGAAACTGATTGACATATTAACCTTAAAAAATGTGAGAATTCGATAGTTAACTTTTCTTTTTTTCCTGTGACTTTTTTTCTGTGACTTTTTTACCTGTGACTTTTTTACCTGGATTCGGTTTTTTGGTTGAATCATCACGTGAATTAACTAGGGTGTCTAATGTTCATTTGAACCAACAATCTGTGATGTGTTTTCTGAATGTCTTTTCTTATCTGTTTATCTTATCCACCCTTCTTTTTCTCTCTCGACCTGTATTTCCTTCCTGAGCGCTAGTTTTAGATAATTGAGTTGTCGGTTTACCCTCAAGCGCTACACCTACTAGTTTTTACTGCCCTCTCTCTCTTTCTCCCTTCCCGTCTCTGCTATAATAATTCGAGTGTCAAAAATCGTATTCTCATAAGTTCTTAGGTTAAAGTTTCCTCTTAAGTGTTTTTTCACTTAAGATGCATTACAGTGTTCGTTTATGCTACTATTGTACTTAAACAAAGATGGCCTTAAGTTCATAGTATAATCTACCTTAAGTCCACAATTAATCAACCTTAAGTCCTTAATTAATCTACCTTAAGTCCTTAATTAATCTACCTTAAGTCCTTAATTAATCTACCTTAAGTCCATAATTAATCAACCTTAAGTCCTTAATTATAATCTACCTTAAGTCCTTAATTAATCTACCTTAAGTCCATAATATAACCTACCTTAAGTCCTTAATTAATCTACCTTAAGTGCACAGTGAACAGTACCTTAAGTGCAGCTACATCGAGTGAAGAAAATTCTACCGCAACTTTATTTTGTAATAGGGAAAATATATACGTAGTAAGGGAAGGATGTGTGACGCTAAAACAATCAGGAAAAAACTCTCCTTCTGGAATGTGTTTCTGTTTATGTTTAGTTAAGGAAATGAAAACAAAACATAACGTAGGAAAATAGTGAATATTCGTCTTTGTGTTATTTAAGTGACTAAGGCGCGTTACTAATGTAGGGAAAATAATTATCTAAACTGACCTATCCATAACTGACCTAACCTAACCTATCTTAAACTGACCTAACCTAACCTCATTCCTCTAAATAGTGTTAGGTGAGATAAGCTGGGGTGGCGATGCTTCAGGTGAGCCGATGGAACCTTACCTGACGTACCTATGAGGGTAATCAAGACATAATTATTTTAATGTGAAAATTACGGTACAGTTGTGTTAAGTTGCTGATGGTCGTTAAGCTGAAGTTCATATCAATATCCAGGTCAGATCCAACCCTCTTGAGTTATTAGCTGAAGATTATCAGATGATCCTTTGACCTCAATACCTGACCTGACCCAACTCGCTAAAGCTATTACCTAAAAATGTTCAGAGTAAATCGGTTAGTTGTCAGTCAGTAGCCAGAGAGCTGTGGCCTGTCTATAGTGTCCTGGGCTGAGTGAGACAACAGTATCCATACCCACAACTTCACAGAAAAGTCAAGCACTACTTTTACAAGGACATCGTTATTACGTCAACAAGAAACGTAAAGAGGGAAAAAAAATTCTGGAGATGTCATAACAGAGATTGTTGAGGCCGCATATCTACTGAAGGAGACACTACTGAAGACTTCATGAATAATGCTGTGGAAAAAGTCACGGCCAAACTGTTCATCAATACTCTTAGCCATTTGGTACTTAAGGTTGATACCAGAAACATGGCAGCAGTCAACAACGGCACCTTCCACTATCTACCGCCTGAGAATGTAAGATTTGCAAAGAGCGTTCTTCGAGTTTCCCCATTCAGTATGGACCAGCACCGGCAGAAGCTTCCATACAATACTTCTCACATATATGGAGCACCAAATATCTAGCAGCTGATCTCCCTCCGCAGTGGAGACCTTCCACTCCTGAAGCGTGGTAGCGGTCGGATGGATAAACGAATTAAGCGGCTGTAGCTGAATTCCCATAGACTCTGGCCTGTATGAATCGGTTATAAGTATGTATTTTTTAATTATTGTTTTATAATTGTATAATATCCATTTTTTATCACCTAGTTCTTTGATTTATTCTACTTTATAGTCAATTAGTGTTTCGATTACGGAATTGACAAAATATACACAATAGGGATAATATAAACGATGGGTAAGACGAGGCAACAGACCAATGTTACCAGAATATTGACAACAGACTGACGAAGGGGTTGTATAATGAAAGAAAGTGATAAAATGAGAGAGAGAGATAACAGCGTACATTAGTGAGAGAGAGAGATGACACACAATGTACCTTAGAGAGAGAGAGAGAGAGAGAGAGAGAGAAGTATTAAGTAATTCCCTGGAAACAACATAAAGATAACACACTAAGGTAAGCTGTAATCTCTCTCTCTCTGTGTCATTCTCTCTCTCTCTAAGGTACGTTGTGTGTTATCTCTCTCTCTCTAAGGTACGTTGTGTCATTCTCTCTCTCTCTCTAAGGTACGTTGTGTCATTTTCTCTCTCTCTCTAAGGTACGTTGTGTCATTCTCTCTCTCTAAGGTACGTTGTGTCATTCTCTCTCTCTAAGGTACGTTGTGTCATTCTCTCTCTCTAAGGTACGTTGTGTCATTATCTCTCTCTCTCTAAGGTACGTTGTGCATTCTCTCTCTCTCTCTAAGGTACGTTGTGTCATTCTCTCTCTCTCTCTAAGGTACGTTGTGTCATTCTCTCTCTCTATCTCTAAGGTAACCTGTGTGTGGTCGTGGGTCTGACTCTCAATATTATTACAACACCAGAATGAGAGACGCGGGTGCTAGAGAGATGGTGGGTTAGGTTAGGGTAGGTTAGGGTAGGTTAGGTTCGCTGGAATTGTGTTCGTGTCTGTCATTATCAGGATGGTGGGCGAAGCTGTGGATACTTTTACAAGGATGAAAAGACCTGAAGCCGAGGAGGATGAAAGGATGACACAGGTACATGACAGAATGAAACAAGGATGTAAACAAAAACAATCCTTACACACACACACACACACACGTCAGTAGGATGAAGGGATTGGGTGACACAAAGTACAGTCGTAGGATGAAGGAAGAGGGAAGGGAGTGTTATGAGGTTGCAACACGGGTTAAGAAGGATGAAATAGCGGAAGATAGGATAAGGGAGGATGTGACAAGGATAATTCTTATGTCATGTCGGTGCTTCCAAGGACAAGACAAAACGGATGGTAGGATGAGAGGCTTAGGAGACACAAGGAGGAGAGAGAAGGATGAGAGGCTTAGGAGACACAAGGGCGAGAGTGGAGGATGAGAGGCTTAGGAGACACAAGGGCGAGAGTGGAGGATGAGAGGCTTAGGAGACACAAGGGCGAGGAAGGATGAGAGGCTTAGGAGACACAAGGGCGAGTGAAGGATGAGAGGCTTAGGAGACACAAGGAGGAGAGAGAAGGATGGTAGGATGAGAGTCTTAAGACACAAGGGCGAGAGTGAAGGATGAGAGGCTTAGGAGACACAAGGAAGGCTTCAGGTAAGGTAAAAACACCAGTGACCAGACAGTGGTACAGGGTGGCCACAAAGGCAGTAGGATACTCACGGAGACGGAGGCCCAGGGAAGGGCGGTGGGGTCGTGAGAGTCGCTCATGTGGTCGTCGCAGTCAGGCACGATGTGGTCGTCATCACTAATGACGGCGACGCGACGCACGCGCTCACACACCGCATCCATCTGAGCTCCAGGGCTCTGTACCTCAATGGTGTGAGCTCCGGGGGCTCTATACCTTGGTGGTGTGAGCTCCGGGCTCTACCTAGATGATTGGGCGCTCTTTTCCTGGCTGTGTGATGCTCTGCGTCAACACTGTCAACAATACCACAACAAGACGGGGACGTCCTCGAGTTTCAGTGTCACGTGACCCAGATGTCCGCGTGGGGCGACAGGTCGTAGTAGCGGATAAACACAGCTCTCAGCCAAGTGTTCCTACACAGACACGTGAGGGGGGTCATGAAAGTGTGCGAGGGGGGGTGTGGGGCGCGGAGAGGACGCTGAGAGGGCAGGAGAACGGAGAACGTCTGCCTCCGACCGTAGACGCCGGCTGACTGTGAGCCGCCTGGACACTCACACACGTTTTCTAGTCCCTCCTGACTGTACGTGATCGCCACATGCTACCCCCACCACTGCTCTGTTTACATTTTTACTCCATTGGTCTAATGATCCTATATTTCACCAGTCACTGTATCGGCTATACCGAGGAAGAGACGACAACACCGAGGATAATGAAACGGATTGGATGATTACAGAAGCCGGAACAAAAGTCAATAAACAACTTGCCGGAGACTACACTACAAATGGTGTACCTCAGATTGAATTTTGTTTCCGGTGCAAGTTCGTCTCTTTTAGTCAGTCTCCCATCCCCCCAAAGATGGACACTTCAGCGCCCCCGTTACAGAGAAGTATACCACGCACTCATGGTCGTGTAGTGTACTCTGTTATGGTTAAGGTGTAACATGTGTAGATGCAGGATGTGGAGTGTGTTGGGGTGGAGGATGTGGAGTGTGTTGGGGTGGAGGATGTGGAGTGTGTTGGGGTGGAGGATGTGGAGTGTGTTGGGGTGGAGGATGTGGAGTGTATTGATGGAGGAAGTGGAGTGTGTTGATGGAGGATGCGTTGATGGCAGTCACAGGGATGAGAGGGGGAGTGATGTGTGACTTAAGTGTGTGTGTGTCTGTGTGTGTGTGTGTGTGTGTGTCTGTGTGTGTGTGGTACTAAACTCAATTACAATATACACGGAAGCCACAACCTAACCTAACCTAACCTAACCTAACCTGACCTAACTTAACCTAACCTGGACAAGTGTTTTAAGTAGTGTGTAGTGGTTAAGTGTTGATCAGGTCACACAGGAAACACTTGAGATATAACGGCTGTCTGATAGTAACAGCGGTGATGACAGCTGACTGATAGACAACTGACCCAAGTAAGATTGTCGGTACGGTATCACTTAAGCTTGATGGAATAATATTATCGGCACGGTATCGCTTAAGCTTGGTGGAGCACAATTATCGGCACAGTATCACTTAAGTTTAGAGGAATATTATCAGCACGGTATCGCTTAAGCTTGGTGGAACATTATAATCGGTACATTAACTATCACCTTCGTCCTTAACGGCACACCTGGTTTTATCGACAAGGTGTGGAAGGGAGGGAAGCAGGGGGGGGGGGTTGAGGGAAGCCGGGAGAGATGGAGGGAGGAGGAAGATTTTCGAGAGAATGGCAGGTCGTTTAAGATAACTGGCCCCTCTGCTTAATTGGTACAGTAGAGGTTAATAAGATACACCTTCTCACTTATAAGAGACACTAATGAGATCACCTGAAGAATGTACTTTATGATTAATATAACCTAACCTAACCTAACCTAAGCCCCAGATAGCATTAGAATTCTTAAACAACTTTCGGTTTATTGGGACGCTGACAGTTATAGGACCACTTATTGTTATATTCTAGAGGTGTTATATCTCTCATTCTCTTTATCGGGACAGTGTTCGTTATCTTATCACCAAGACGATTGCTATCTTGTTATCTGTACGTGTGTGTGTGTGTGTGTGTGTGTGTGTGTGTGTGTCAGACTGGTGATTCCATTTGTGTTAGACGATATTATAGGAAACAGTATTATTTACGATGATGAGTAATAAACAAATGATTAACACACACACACACACACACACACACACACACACATACACATACGTACATTAGGAGTGCCGTTAGAAACTCAGTTAATTCCCAAAATTCCCATGAAGCTATTTTAACCCGGAGTGCCTTAACGAGCTCCAGTGAGTCAGAGAGAGAGAGAGAGAGATTGGGGATATTAGGGATATTAGTTAAGGTTCTAAAACTGCTGTCGGGAGTTAGTTAAGGCTGAAAGTCGCTATCAGGGGCAAGTCAAAGCTTAAAAGTCATTTTCGAGGAAAAGTCAGGGCCTGAGACTCACTCTCGAGTAATAGTCAGGGCTTGAGAGTAACTTTAAGTACTAGTCAGGGCTTGAGAGTCACTTTATGGACTCGTCAGGGTTGGAGAGTCACTTTCGAGGAATATTCAAGGCTTGAGAGTCACTTTATGGACTCGTCAGGGCTTGAGAGTCACTTCCATGTACTGCTTAAGGCTTAAAACTTGGTGTAGAAAAGTTCCTCCACTTGTTGTCGAGGTCTTCAAGTAGTCGCCGAAATAGAATACGTGACTGACACACACCCAGCACCAGTGGGGCATGACGACAACATTGCACAAGAGTGTTGAGGTGTACAGAAGTAGCGGCAGAAGACGTTGAAGAAGGACGAAGGTGTGAGAGGACATCCGGCCAGCACGAGGCTTCCGCAGGGCTCCCAAGGGGTGCCTGATTATGATTGTCACGAGTGCTTCCGGTGATGAACCTTTGGAAAGAGGTAGTGTGAGTGTGTGTGTGTTATGCGAGTGGCTCTTTGCATACCTTGTGACTTGGCTCTCACAGGGACAGTTTCTATCACAAGGCGGTGTCCTACGAGTGACGCCGCACTTCCTGTCTCTGGCTCTGCTTGGACACACACACACACACACACACACACACACACACAGAAATGTAGTGAGAAGTTATATGTTCTGTTTGGGCATCCTGGTAACTCAGCTTCGTCCATTCTTCTTCTTCTTTATTGTGTTCTATGTTATTAATTTACAAACAACATTGTAAGTGGAGATATGACTTGAAATTTTGATACAGGTACAGACAGTATTCAAAGACCGGTAAAGGTACAGTTACAGGTACAAAATTAAATACAGGTAGGGATAATTACAGGTAGGAATAATTACAGGTAAATATAGAAAAAATAACAACATAACACAGGTAAAGTGAATATGGCTCAGTCACATTCTGTCTCCCTTGTTTGTTGTCGGTCTGTCGGTTTATCAGTCTGTCAGGTTGGATAATTAATTCACAAAGATTCCAATAAAACTCTTGGTTCACACCCTGCCATGTTTCAGCGTGTGTGTGTGTGTGTGTGTGTGTGTGTGTAGAGCCGTAATTCCTTTGTGTAAGTAAGTTAGAGACGTCCGCTAAACATAAGTTAATGGGAAAAATTGCAGTATAGTGAAAAATTAAATACAAAGAGAGAAGAGGTAGCAAGGGAGGAGAAGTCAAACCCCAAGGGATTCTATCAAATGTATCAAACTGAAACACGAGAAAAGATTGGACTAATACAGTCAGATACCGGCGAGCTAACTGATAACGAAGGAGAAATGAGCAATAATCTGAATAAATATTTTTCAACAGTTTTCACCACCGAAAATTTAAGCATGATACCCGAGGCACCGACTCTATACAGAGTTAATGAAGAAAATATATTAAGCGAGATAGTAGTGACTAGTAACGATGTTAGTGAACAAATAGACAAAGTAAAGCCTAATAAGTCATCAGGTCCCGATGAGATATTTGCCAGGGTATTAAAGGAATGTAAGGAAGAGCTGAGTATGCAGTTCAATTCTGGTCACCGTATTACAGAATGGATATAGAATCCTTGAAAAGAATTCAGAGGAGAATGACAAGACTAATCCTGGGCATTAGGAACCTTGAGTATAGAGACAGGTTAAAGAATCTTAATTTGCACTCCCTCGAGAGACGTAGAGTGAGGTAGATATGACAGAGGTGTATAAATGGAAGTCAGGGCTGAACAAAGGGGACATTACAAAGGTACTCAAACTATCCAACCAGGAGCGAGCTCTTAACAATGGTTTTAAATTAGACAAATTTAGATTTAGGCGCGAAATAGGAAAACACTGGTTTGGAAATAGAGTAGTGGACGAGTGGAACAAGTTACCAAGCATCATCATTAACTCGAATACGCTGGATAGCTTCAAGCATAGGTTGGATGGATATATGAGCAATAGGGGTTGGGTGTAAATGGGACTTATGTTCTTATGTTCTGAAGTAGTTAGTGACGACAGACAGAGACAGAAAGAGCGATGATAGGTGTTATTAAAGAGATGAGAGAACATGAGTCACACACTTCCTTATCTCTCTGTCTCTGTTTCCCTGATAGTGAGATAACACACACACACACACACACACGCTAAGGAAACTCATTAAAAAGGTAGTATATATCCATTAGTCACCTCCAATACCATTCAACCTACTCATCACGTCGACAAAATAACACGAGGCAACAATTATTTTCCCTATATGACAAACTGCCATTATACAAGAAAAGGAAAATATTGTTTCCTGCTCCTTTTTTTTTTTTTACCACAACTATATTTTCAGTAATGTAAGGAAATGATTCATTGGAAATAGGAAAACCCTCGAGGTATACTTTTGAACAGCACAATTGACGTATGCTTGTATGTTATTGTATTTGGAAATCCAGTTAGAAGAGCATGATTTGTTAACAATATATTTCCTTCCTGTCTCTCTCTCACACACACCAATTAGAGACGCGGCTTCTATTATGGAACTCTTAAATCTGTTACACCTACCAATCAATAAGGCTCTGAAATCATGAAACTCCTGAATCTTTTAAACCTACCATCCAATAACTTCAATAAGGCTCTGAAAAGCATCGAACTCCTGAATCTTTTAAACCTACCATCCAATAACTTCAATAAGGCTCTGAAAAAGCATCTTAATAATGTCCTTTAGTTCATATCCTCGAATATAAACACACAAACAAATATTTCTACAGTACCTACGACACAACAGTGGGGGAGGTTAGGTTAGGTTAGGTTAGGTTAGGTTAGGTTTGTTCCAGGGCCACCACCACACAGTCACTTCAGTGGCGAATTAAAACAAAGACACTTTCATGGTGTGTGTGTGTGGGGGGGTAATACACACACGTACAAGGGCATCGAATGTAAGGCAATGTTGGATAGGATGGTAAGGTATGGTGGGCAGGATAGTGAGGTATGGTGGGTAAGATAGTGAAGGATGATGGGTAGGATAGTGAGTGGTGATGAGTGAGGGATAGGTAGTGGGCAAAGGATAATAAATGGGGCAGGGAGTGGACAACGATGGGCAGTGGGCAAGGCCTCTAGGAGCATCGTACAAATCACGGGGTAGATGGTAACACGAC